CCCCCCCCCCCCCCCCCCCGGCCTCGGCCTCGGCCTCGGTTCTGGCTGCAGCGATTGTGCAAGCTGTTGTATAAGGCAGCTGGTGGTATGCGAGGTATAAGGTCAGTGCCTGGAAAGAACACATGTCATAAGCATCGTTATGTTGTAACTACTTTGCTCCATCTCTCCGTTTAATCTCTCTCTCTCTCCCAACTCTCTGTCAGCCACCCCCATTTGACTCTCTACTTCTTCTCTTTAAGTGTGTAACTGATGTCGTGCAACACTTCCTGGTACTTTTATATCTCTGCAATCTGCCGTTTTTACTTCCCACACTGCTGCATTAAAGGCCGCCGGTTTTAGAGTATGCCAACAGTCTGCAAAGTTTCATACAAAGGAGAAATAACATTTCTGACAAGCGAGGATGAGTTTGATTGTTTATTCACAAAACATTTCAAAAATGAATACAATTCAAACAATGTTGCATATTTGAAAGTCAAAATATTAGTCCGTGAGTAAGTGTCACAGGCTCAGACGCAGTGCAGATCAGGATTTGCAAGCAAAGTCTGTGCTTTATTCCAAGAAGTCCCTGATCGCTGCGCTGGTAAAGAAAAGTAAAGTCCATTTAGACATTTTCAGAACGCCCTCTTCCGGACCAGCATCCTCCTCGTTCCCCTCTAATGAGATCCAGTCCAGCCTCGGCACTTTCGTAAGTCCATTTCTTGCAAAAGTCTCTGCGACCTTGCTCCGCTCAGTTCCCCATCGCCTTGTATCTCAGGCGCCACTTATCATCTATTCATGCACTATATGCAGTACATTCCAAATCCTTCTCAGTGTCCGTCAGGCTTTTCAGTCCACTCCCGCGTTCGCCCCAACCCAGTCCACACTTGACCTCTCAACTTGGAACGCTTCCTCAGGGTGACCCAGAACCAACGTGCCGACCCAGAATGCACTGGAAGGCTGTGCACTTGCAAGGGGGGTGAAGGGGGTGGGGGTTACAGCCACATCCTCTTAATCCAGACATGTGAGGCAGAAAGGCTTGACGCCCCCCCCCACATCCCCAACTGAGGCTCAGCTCCTTGACTTTCTTTTCATCATCTTCATCATCACCATCATCATGTGAAGCATTATAGGTGGAGTGTCACTTCAGCGCTCCTCCAGCGTGATGGTGGGCACCCAGTCGTACACACTGCGGCTCTCCTCACAGAACAGACTCAGCTTGTCCAGAGCGGGGTCTTTCCATGGGTTTGCACTGGGGCTCTGAAATAAATAAAAAAAACGAGACATTTAGAGTCAGGACACAAGAGGCAGACATGAGCTATGCAGACATGCAGTGACTTGGCAGCGTGTGCAGAATATTCAGACAGAGGTGGGGAGTGATGCGTGCATGATTCACCGGCTGCCTAGAGAGTGGGTGCTTCCGGGGAACGTACCGTGACAAGAATGCAATGCGCGTCCTTGGGCTCGCCGGTCTCGCCTGAGCTCACGAGGTCGGCCAGGCGCTCGATGTCGTTGACGCGCACTACGTTGATGTCGTTGTCGAAGCAGAACGCCTGGATGAGGGTGAAGTGGATCTGGAGGGCGATGTCGCACTCGTACTCCTCATCGGTGGCGAGGACGCAGAATGCCACGCTGTCTGGGTCACTGTGGGGAAAGACACGAGCGGGGGGTCAGAACACATTCTTTTCACGCATATGCTTCGAATAAAAAGAAATTAAAAATAAAAGACAATTGCAGTTAAACATGTCGTGGATTGCAATACTTACACATTCATGACTTTCGCAGATTCGTAAACTCCAACTGTCAGGTACTCCTGCTTCTTAGCAGCCACCAGCAGCTCCTCCAGGGCTGCGCCTGCACTTTGCACCCTTGACAGAGACAAATACGCATCATTAGGACACTGAGCACGGTTTTGGTAAACAGGGTACAAACTACAAAGCATCAACCCGGCAGCTTGAACACTGCGTCCTTGTGTAAAATATTTACCTGTCTACGTTTTCCATTGCGTTCTCTTGTCCGCGGATCTCTTCCAGAGTCATAGTTATAATCCAAGCGCGATCGGGATCGTTGCAGTGAACTGAAGCGGTTGCGTGTCTCTCCGTGTATAGTCTCTTGCGTTTATTCTGAGCTCGGAACGGGCGGTGGGTGGATTTATAGCAGATCGGCGTAGTTTCTCGGCAAGGGGCGGTCTTTCCAGCTCATGCGTCCTACCATTGGCTCGGAGCAGCCAGGGAGGGGGTGAGGAAAGCAAAAATCCCCGGGCAGTTATAGTGAGCTTGTTGACAATCCCACGTGGGGCAACATTACAACCTTTCAAGACATTTCCTCCCCTTCTCTCTCTCCACCACCCACCACCGATTCCTGTTTGCCTTGTCAACATCCAACATCACCACGATGAACAAAAAACTTAAAGTCCTGTTGACTGCAGATAGCAGCCTTGTGGTCACGTGCATCTCTGAATATCACGCAGTAGGCTCAATTATATTCTGTCACGTTTGTGACCTATGTATAGTGAGTAAATGGGCTAAATCACACCTTTGGAGGATAAATGTGTTTCAGCATCCCAATTTATTTTCTTATAATAATCTCATTGTTTGCATTGTGATGATCACAGGTGGAGGTCACCGTTTATTCGCCCTGTTATTGATCACGTCATCGCGGAATACCAGGAAGCCTGCCTGTTGTTTGTTGGTTGTATAATTGTTCAGCACCATGTGATGTTTTCCCATGACAGTTATAGCGGACCAACAACAGGTACAAATTGGTATTGAAGAGATAAGAAGTCAAAAGAAAAGGAACGTTTTTTGGGGGAAACAGTGGAATCGGTGGTGAAATGAATCTCTCCCATGATAAACTCTGGAACAATGTTGTGAGGATTGGACTTCCCCAGCGTAGGGGAATCCCTGCGTTCTAGCCCATCTGAACTTTCCCCGGTGTCTGTAGCCTTGCATCACCCTCAATAAACAGCTTGTTGACGGTGCACCTGCACCCTATGAGCCGGTTACTTAACGTGCTGCCGTGTTTGCAGTCTGCTCGGAGAACCGACGAGTGAGACCCGCAAGCGTGGCCCAAACCCCCAAAATAGGGCGAAATGTCTTGATTGATGCGTGTTTGGCAGACTGACCAGAAAAACAGCTTGTTTGCCGGCACACGCCACTTTTTTTTTTGTTCGCCCGTTGAAAGAAAAGCTTTGATTGCCAGTCTGACTAGCTACTTGACGCGTGTCGCTTCTCCCCAAAGAGAGAGAGAGAAAGAAAAGAGCGACCTTTGTGCCACAACAATACGCACGTCCTCCACCTGCCTCCGGCTGCGGGGGGTTTGTGAGTATAGGGCCTATGTGTGCACTTTATGACCCCCTTGCTCCATTCAGTGCCCTGCGGCAGATGCCCGACAGATGCGCGTTTGGCCCCCCTCCCGAAAAGTGCCACGCGCCATGGCCAGTAAGTAGTCTCTTTACAGGCCAGTTGATCTTATCAGTGCGTGACTGCATGTTTACATTCAACATCATTCGCTTTATACACAGATGTGGAAGGTTGTGCACGTTTGCACACCCGCAGGCTGTCTTAACATGAAGATGATGTCTCATATCAACGCTTATCCAGAGTTAATGTAATTCTGCACCAGGGGAAATCTATAGGTGGGCCACGACAAAGTGGGTCTGATTACGGGAATGCTTCTCTATGTTAAAGGTTGTTTTCTTTAAAAGTCTCGTGTTAAACGATGAATCAAATAATAAACCACTCTGACATTTACTCACGCAAATTAAGATGCCATACATGATAGCTGGATCCACACCGTCATGGAGCGGCTGAGAGCGCTCGGTCTCAAGGCATGTGCACGGACGGACGGACGGCGCCACCTGCTGGTCATTGAGCCAGTGACCTTTCCCTCACTTACACTGCTATCGTCTCAACATGTTGAATGATCCCCCATGACTCATAATTCCAACCTCACATATTGCTGAGTCATCAACCAGTCCCCTGCATGTTGTTGTTCCCTGACAGCTGATGTTGCTCCGGTTGTTTTCCCAGACATGTTGCATGTTGAACGGGGGTGAAAATAGAATGATCGTTGTGAGTGAAAAACAGTCTTTGAATGAGCAGTCTGAATTTACAGAGCTGTATGCCCACTCTCCCTCTTTTTATCCATACATGTAAATGAACACTAATCCAATGCACTCATGTGATTCTGTAGCCAGATAAACAACATTACATAAATACTGTTGGAATTTTTATGGCTTTTGCACTTGTGAATGCAGTAAGCAGTTTGGCTAAGATGATAAGGGGAAATCTCTGGCTGGCTGCAAATCCCAATGGAGGATAAATAAGTAACGGTCTCACGACATGACCCTGAGCAAAGCAACAGACAACTAAACACTGTAATGGTCCAAAGCTGTGGCGAACAGTTCCAGACTGTGGTTGTGCTGGCAGCTCTTGAGCACTCATTTGTCTGTGAGAATGTCACTAAATGTCAGTGTGTTGCTGCTAAAGAAGACCATCTTGGAAAAAGAAAGATTGTGGAAGCTGTGACGAGCATTTACATTTTTTTTATTTATAGGTGTACGAGATAAATTTGCAGGGAAATCTTAAATAAAACATCCAAATGTGTCCTGTTTAACGTTTCATCTCAAAGCGAGTCTCGTATGGTCAACAGCCTCCTCAAGTTGTACAGTTCGTGGTGTTCTGCTGTTCCTTCGCCCAATAACACAGATCAAGAAAACTGTTCAGATATATATAAAAAGTTTATTATTATTATAGATGTCCAGACATGTCTTTTACATAAAGACTTCCAATGTACAGAAGAGCCACAATCATTTAAGCATATTCACATGTCATTCCTGGACTTTGTCAAATGACAGTGCATTTGTTCAACATTTAAAATCTCACTGACTCTCGATTATAACAAAAAGTAGTTCCAATACCATTTAGATTCCACGTATACCACCGACGGTAACATAAGAATTAATAGTGACAAAAATGCCTCGCTGACAAAACAGGTCATTGTTTTTTTCAGTACATTTTACTGCAACACGGTTTATATATTACACACAGATGTATTTCAAACCCGTTGTTCGGTGCACACAGGTGCGAAGGTATTCCACACATGTTAAGAAAGATAAGAACTGTCCCATGAAGTTGGAAAAGAGGAGATGGTAGGGGTGGGCTTCGGTTGGCGGACAATGACAAACTCAACGGTTCAGTGTCTTGTTCCATATTTTGCATTATGACATATTTCTTGATTTACTGTACAACATAAAAACAAAGCATTCCAAAAATTTTAAAAAAGAAGCATGGATACCCTTGTTACAAGGGAAATACTAATACTTTACAAGTCTTCTAAATGGCCAAATGTCCTGCAATGGCTTAAGCATTACGGTGGTCAGACAACCACTTTAATCAAGCGTTACGAGCATCGAGCAGCCTATGTTTCTACTATGCGATGGAGCTGTCTGGCTAGTCTGCGGTGCAAACTGTTGAGAGTGCATATTTTCACAATAATTTACTATGGGAGAGTCCTTCATGAGCGTACGTTAATATTTAGATCTGCTAAAGACAGACACGAGCCGAACATAGCCCCAAACCCCTAGAATTTGGCAATAAATAGTGCCATCAAGTAAAACGTCTCTTCTGTCATCAGCACCGCATTGTGCATTGAACATGGGAACCCTCAGTGCTACCTAGGTTGCATGTGGCCTCCAGCGGGACAGGCGTGTAGTTTACCGCGGCGATGTCCTATTCTTTAGGTAGTTTACACTGCTGAAATATGGAAATCTCTCTCCAGTTATTTCAGCCTACTGGAGCACGGACAAAGTGCAAATAAAGTAACAGTAGTACATCAGAAGGTTGTTAGAGGGGAAAAGCAGGGACAGAAAGACTGATCCTAGATCATGATAATTACCGGTATGTTCCCTTCATCCTTTTGTAAGTTTAATCTTCACCTCTGGTACCTAAAACATTAGGAAGATAGCTCCCTCTGCTGGTTGCATTGATCAACATCTCCCCCCCACTACATCTCATCTGAGCGGTGCTGCTGTAGAATGACAGACGGGGGGTTCCGGTCTATCCAGTTATCCTTGGATCCCGCGACCTCGTACGCCACGGCGCCGTCGACGGATCCTTCCTGCAAGGGCCCCGCTCCGCCGGCCGGCCCCGGCTTCATCACCGCGGCCTGAGCGGGGCCGGGGAAGTCCGCCGAGGAGTTGCTGCTGACTCCTGTTTCGGAGTCGGGCTGCTCCACCATCTGGAAGCCGGGTGTGTGATTCTTCTGGCCACCGGCGAAGATGGCTTTGACGTTCTCCACCTCGGCTTGGGGCACTAAGAGAACCTCCTCGTCCTCAGGCTCAAGGTCCCCGAGGTAAGATATGGCATCTGTGCTTTCTGGTGGCATCGAGCGCAAGGTCCGGGAGATGACTGCAACGATGAACGAGAAATGAGTTACCAAAGCTGCGCCGAGGAAAGTATTCAAGAAATCTCAGTCACACAGTAGATAAAATCAATGACACGCCGTCTTGATGAAGCATCGTACAAATTCTGGGTATCGAAAAGTACAGATATGACAGAAGAGAGACTTGTAATTCTTATTTTGAGGTAACTTACTGGAAGACGGTGTGTAGAGCTCCTTCTGTGCTCTGTTTCCGCCGAACGGGTTGACTGACGGGAAGATGATGAGACAGAAAGAGAGCAGGAACACCTGGAGGGCAACCCCAAGGAGAGAGTGAGAGGAAAACTAAAGAGAACAATACTGCAGCATGACAAAGAACTTCATATGGGAGCAATAATCAGGAGAGGAAAGAGGAGCCGTCACATTTACCATAACGCAAGTGCTGGTTGTGCTGGCCTTCATAGTCGACATCTTCACAATTGCCTGTAGCTTCTTCAGCTGCTCGATCAAGGAGCTGTGATGTGCAAGAGGACAAATTCACCCTACCGGCCGTCAGCAGATTCAAAAACACTTTCCAGATACACGTTATTACTTATTAATGCAGAAGAGATATCGCTTACATGTTCTGTTTGTGGAGCATTTGGACTTTCTTCTGTAGTTCCAGGTTGTGTGCAGTACAGATGGCGACCCTGTGGTAGACATTGATTCAGTAATTAGGATATTTATCCAAAAGTGCATAGACTTTTTGAACAACCATAAAAAAGAAGCGCATACAGTTGATCACTGCCAGCATAACTAGTCACGGGGCAACTAGGCTGGAAAAAGTGCTGCTTAGTTCTTCTTTACGTTCTCCCTGCAGTGTGAGTTCTCGAGCGTGATTTAAATAAATGTGTTAAAAGAAATAAGTTGACTGTACGGCTGCAAAGATTAGTAGATTCGTCGATTAGTTGATCTGTAGAAAATCAATCGGCAACTATTTTGATATTCAAATTATTTTCTTAGCAGAAATCCAGAGCACGACCTAGTTCCAAAAATGTCTGCATCAATGGTCAACAGAATCCATTCACTTCTCATTGATAGTCCCTTTTGGCCTCTTCATCTCACCTGTTCTCCAGTCCGTCCACATACACCTTCTTCTTCTTGCGGCTCTCCTGAGCAGACTGCTTGTTGCGGATCTTCCTCCTGACCCTCTTCAAGGTCCTCTCCTCAGCCTGTTACACAGATAGAGGGCGTTCACCATGGCGTTGACATGACAACGTAGATATAGAAAACAGCTTTGAGCAGCTTTGTCGCAAACAGAAAATCAATTTTCTGAATAAATTTTTTAAAAACAAATTCAAATATGGCCAAAAACAATTATTTTGTATCAGCACTTATGTTGCCTGACTAGGCTCATTATTGTACAAACATTTACAACACATGACAGACGTTCTCATCCAGAAGAGTTTACAATGCCGCCAATCAGCTCAAATAAGGAAACGTTTTCAGCATTAACTACCTTTGTGAGCGGCATGTGTGTCGGAATAGTTGCTCCCTCTTTCCCCAAAAGCCGCTTCTCCTCCTCAGTGAGCACAATCTCTTTAAACTGGAACTAAAGAGGGGAAAAGACTTTAATCTCCTGTACAAGACGGTACTACAGATGCAACATGCAAAGAATCAGCAGATCATGTCACAAACATAAATGAGGCATGTAAACTGAAACTTTCCGTCTTCTTCAGGCAATCTCTTTGATTCGACCAGAAAAGCAAGCAACAGAGAACTGAGGATAAGGAGGGAGAACTGACCTGGTCTGCTGCGTTGGCTGGAGTTGAATCCTGTGTCGAGTCGTCCTCTATGGACAAAGTGCAGGGCAGCTCGTCTGTGAAGTCCTCCTCTACTGCCTCACACACCAAGTCATCTGACAGGAGAGAAATACCTTTGAAACGACCGTAATCTGCCCATCTGTTGATAATGTATGCAGCATCGCTCTCACCGAATGTGCACTCAATGCATGCATTTTGTAGGTATTCATCAAGGGGTTGGATAAGTTACAAAATACGAATATACCGTAGCCTATAGAATTCATAAATGACATCAGAATCAGGGGGTTCTTGGACTTAACGTACCCAGATCAATAAAGACATCCGTATCTGGCTTCTCCGCCCTCACACTCTGCAAGACGTCCATGTCCCCGCCTCTGCCCTGCAGCAGAGAGTAGCTGTGATCCGCCTGGACTGTCAAAACCTCCAGGCTCTCCGTCTGCATCTCTCCGGGGCCCAGGGCCGGGTCAGAGTGCACCGGGCTGGGCTGGGAGTAGCGGGGACTGGGCACAACGTCACTATCGCTGCCCTGGGGACTCGGGCACCCCAGGTGGTTGTTGTTTCCAACCCCGGTGCTGCTGTCGTCAGAAATGCCGCTGTCGCTGCCCAAGGGAGAGTGAGAGGGACCGATGGCCTCCATGTTGTACTCTCCCTCTAACAAGCTGGACAGAAAGTCTTCAGTGTCCATTCCTGTCAGCATCTGGGAGAAAACTAAATGTTAGCTTTAAGGCCAAGACTACAGTCTAGACTAGAGTCATCCAACGATAAAGAGGGACAATGTGTGGGTTAATATTGTCTTGGTAAGCAATCTAACCAACTTCATCCAAAGTGCGTATTTCTATTCAGTGAATGAACTCTCACATCTTGCTCCGACAGCCAGGACTCAATGAGTCCACTCTCATCAGCAAAGAGAGGCTCGGTGGATCCATCCAGTCCGTTGTGGAACAGCAGCCCCAACAGGTCTGCTCCATCCATGTCTGGAAGGTCCTCAGTGACTGACATCTGGAGCAACACAGCAGCATGCAGACCACAGCAATGGCATTAACAACTATGTACACATAATATCGGTATGATAATACAACATATGATGCCAGAATAAATGCTGTCTGGGAATGGGTTTTGTCGTTTTTTTTTGTTCTCATAGGCGGCATAACAGTTATGTAGTGCTGAAAACTATTTGCAGATTAATCAGTTGGTTGATAAAAAAATTAAAAAATAATGGGTTGTTTGAAAAATATTTGCCCCACAAGCTGATCTCCATGTGGACACTATTTTGACTGTGTGCGGTTCAGTAGCCACAATATTCAATTGTGCAGTCTTAAGTATGACACATTATGCTTCCAAGTCAGTGAGTCAATAACGCGTATCCTTAAGTGCTGTGTTAACGGCTTCATATTGCATCATTGCCACGTTCCCATCATGACCTCATCTTTTGTTGAGCCCCGCCCCCCACATGCCTTTGTCACAAGATCTGAATTCAATGTCAAAACAAATAAGATGAAGAGCCTTTAGTTCATTCCAGAAAATGAATATTTCTATGCTGCATTGATATAAAAAAAATGTGAATGCAGTCCCGGATGCAGGGTGTCTTTGTTGTCTTACAAAATAAGAGCATTGTCTTGTAGCATAGCCATTGAACACAAAATAAATGACCTCGTTAATGCACTAGCAGTGAACACATACGAGCAATATGATTCATGAGCATTTGATTTTAACGAGCAGGAAAAAATGACTATATTATATACTCCAATAGCAGAAAGAAGGACATGTCTTAGGCTAACGTCGACGAGCAAGCTAGTGTTAGCTTAATAATCCTTAGAGGATCTTTATGAGCAAGAGGGCGTGGTCCCTTGTAACATTAAACACACTGAACACACATTTAACACAGTTCATGTCGACATTACTACTCGTACCGTTCGATGAGAGGCCAGAAAATATCATTCGAGTGAGAGCGTCCGGGTGTCTTTAGGTTTCTCCACTCAGCGTTTCTTCGGCGCTGATAATAGTAGTCTACTGTCACAGCGCTTCCTACAGAAACTACCTTCCAACAAGGCAGAAATTGCGTCATCGCGTAAAGGCGGATATGAGTACGTGAGCTACTTGGGGGATTCTGGGAAATGTAGTGTACAGCACCCTACCACGTATTGTACTCTTGATTGTCTCGCTTTCTGCATACACATGAGCGGCAGCCATAGACTGTGGTGGCAGCAGTTAAATACAGCTAATAGACTAATACACTTATATAAGATGAAGATGATCCTGTAGTGTTATTATTTTCTGATGCCGTTTTGTAAAATACAGCAGAAATGGTATAAAATAATGACCTGCTTGTGATGCCAGTGAAAAAATCTTAAGTGTATTAAACCTTAAAATGATATTGTAAATAAATACATTTGTTTGTATCTATATATGTCTTTGAATACCTTTTAAAGCACTATACAAATAAAA